TCGGAAAATTCCAAATTAACATTTAAGAATTTCTTGTAAACTTGATAAATTTTGATAAGTCATTATTATCTCTATTACATGCCCAGCCAGATGTTTGTCAGAAAATTATTTCTTATTTTTCGGGCATTTTCAAAGGGTTCACTTTACACTTGAAAATAAAATCGGAAAATCACGCCAAAAGAAATTTTTCTTTTAACTTTGTAGCGGGTAAATAAACTCGCGATTTATAAACGGGAGTGTTTAGAACTTGATGAAATTTCACAGAAAGTGAAATTTCAGTGAAAACTTTTGCTGTAGCTAGGCGCTACAGGCGAAAAATCAAAGTGCGCCACGTTAGGGGCCGCGCCACGTTAGGGTACATCAACAATAGGCCTACAGCAAGAAACAGAATGATTGATAGGGCCTAACCTAATCCACCATTCTCCAAAAATTCAGCACGTGTCTTCTCTGTATCTCGAAGAAATAGTCCTTGCGAAAAGTTTCAGCAGGCCCCCGTCGACATGGTCGATATTTATTCGGTCGCCGGTCGCAGATAAATTCGCGGGTGCGGGTAACTTTCGATAGCGCCCTCTAGCGCTAGCTTTGCTGTAACAAATCTAAACCCATTTTTAATGATTGAAGCATAGGCCTATAGGCTATAGGTAGGACCTAAAGTTGTATCCAGTGGGAAAAATCTTCTGTTTCAAGGGAAACACCATGCCAACTTAAACATGATAGACACTTATAATTTCAAACATTTTTCTCTCCGCCCCCCTTCTTTCTGTTCCAATAAGCCCACCCACCTACGAGCGAACGTCGGCACGAAATGGTACAGTATGGTACCTAAAATACATACATACAAAACCAACCTCATCGCATGGGTACCAGATGCGAATAGGTTACAACCTCGGTTTCATGAAAAATTTGCGCATGATCCCACATGTAAAGCATATGGATTGACGATGACTCATCCCTGTCCTCGCGAGAACGAGGTTGTCGTCTTGTCGAGTACGCGTACGACTCGGCGATTATTTGTGTAGGGCCTAGTTAATTTGTCAGCGATCGATCAGAAAACTGTCACTCAGTGTGAAACCGCTAATTTTGCTTGTTTAGTTCTCAGATTTTTTTAGTTTGAAGAAAACTAGTCGTTGACGTGTGTTTTGCTTTGTGTGAACGAACCAGACTCGGATATGAATTCTCCGTGGTGGTTGCACTTGTTCATCTTGGCTGCTTTGACAGGTTAGTGTCACAGGGGCGGATCCAGGAAGCTTTGCGGGGGGGGGGGGGTCATCAGCAAATCATTGTTGAAATGTAGTCAGGTTTTTCTTTGTTTGGACACTTGACGGAGTAGTTAATTGGCCTCTATAAAATCAATACGGGGGGGGGGGGGGGGGGGGGGGGAGCGATCGATCGTGTAGTCATGGTACTAGTGTAGTTAATTATTTTCGTGTGTTTTGTGTTGTCTTTGTCTTACGACTCATAGTCATTTTACCCCTCAAATTTCCCTCGAAAATTCAAAACCCAGGCCTTTATCTTTGACATACCTGCATGTTCCTAATGTCGCCAACTAGTTTGCGTTTGGTAGGTCAAATTATTTTTTTTAAGTGGATGTTGTTTCCTACGGAGCCCGTAGATACACAATCACCAAAAAAATTAGGAAAGATTCCCATATCTGGACTAGCATGACTAGGCCTACTCCTAGAATATGAGGCTCCACGTAGTAGAGCCTCATAGATGAAGAACCCCGCAAATTGTTTTTCAGCACAAAACACTAATTAAAGGGAATATACATCATTTGCTTTTGCTGTAATTTTCAGAAATGGATGGAATTGGGGGTTGGAAATATAAAGCAAATATAGTTACACTGACTTTTTGGAGGTTTTGGGTTCGAAAATGCTATAAAAACCAAGAAAAACGATCATTTCCTGTAGTCTGGTTCCCTGACTCCATATAAGAAGAAACAGAGCAGTTTACATACATTGGGGAATTGTAAGGTCAGGGAACCAGTCTAGCTTGCTCGTACCCGTTCATAGGTTTGTAATCGATTGCAAACAAGTGCAATGGTCAATTGGGCCAGTATTTGAAAAAAAAGCCAGTTGTTTCCAACGCTGATCGGCCGATCAGCGTTGGAAATTGATACAAAAATACCACTTTTCTTGAAAATGACAGTATACCAGGTGCCATAATTTTACAGGATGCTTTAGACTATCATTTACCAACATCCTATTAAGGTAATTCGCAAAAACTTGGTAGTTTTATTTTTCGATGTTTGCAAATGTTGTATATTCCCTTTAAGTACAATAACGTCCATCAAAATGCAGACATTTCCCACAGAACCCCTGCACAGTTTGCCCCCAAACTCCATATTCACGTAATATGCGCAGAACAAACATTGCTGGATTTTGTCGGTTTTTTGGCCAAAATGATGAAAAATAGGTAGCATAAAATGGTACGACAGTAGAGCGCGTAATGAATATGCATGACTATGACGTCACTAGAAGCTCATGAGTAATATATCACGCACGGTACTGATAGATATACATGTAGATGCACACTGTATGCCGGTGCTGCATCCCACTTACCGATGATATCACATTTAACAAGTCCTCTTTCTACTGTCGCGCCGCCACCCTCTAGTGTCGTCCCACTTACCGATGACATCACATTTAACAAGTCCTCTTTCTACTGTCGCGCCGCCACCCTCTAGTGTCGTCCCACTTACCGATGATATCACATTTAACAAGTCCTCTTTCTACTGTCGCGCCGCCACCCTCTAGTGTCGTCCCACTTACCGACGATATCACATTTAACAAGTCCTCTTTCTACTGTCGTGCCGCCACCCTCTAGTGTCGTCCCACTTACCGATGATATCACATTTAACAAGTCCTCTTTCTACTGTCGCGCCGCCACCCTCTAGTGTCGTCCCACTTACCGATGATATCACATTTAACAAGTCCTCTTTCTACTGTACTGTCGCGCCGCCACCCTCTAGTGTCGTCCCACTTACCGATGATATCACATTTAACAAGTCCTCTTTCTACTGTACTGTCGCGCCGCCACCCTCTAGTGTCGCCACCCTCTAGTGTCATTGTTAAATGTGATATCATCGGTAAGTGGATGCAGCACCGGCATACAGTGTGCATCTACATGTATATCTATCAGTACCGTGCGTGATATATTACTCATGAGCTTCTAGTGACGTCATAGTCATGCATATTCATTACGCGCTCTACTGTCATACCATTTTATGCTACCTGAAAAATATACCCTTTCTGCACTGAGCCAACCTGACACTTGAAACGTGCACACATATGATCCAGCAATGATTTTCGGTTTGCTCGGAGCGCGCCGCGGGGGGTACAGTACAAGCGAAATGATAGTATGCACATGCGTACAAGTGCAAGTACTGCACCCCCCGCGATGCGCTCCGAGCGTTCTAGGAGTATATCTGGCCATCGTTAGTCACCCTGTGCACAAACTGTATGAGACTGGTCAGAAAATTTCAAAGTGTTTTCTCAATAGTTTTGAGGTAACATATATTCATGACATTTGAATAATGAAGATGGAACTAGGTCTATATCAAACTACTAAATTCACTTGATTTCACCAGTTGCTGTCAGAGGAACTGCAGGCCCCTCTGCACCGGATCAAGTGGTTCGCAGGCACCGACGAGCAACAGAAGATGTCAGGGACTGCAGGGATCAGACTGAGGTAAGAATGATTACTACACCTCATAAATATTCATGATCAAATTGGGGCACGTCATTGGCTGATTCCGCAACAGAAGATGTCAGGGACTGCACGGATCAGACTGAGACCTAAGAATGATTACTACATCTCATAAATATTCATGATCAAATTGGGGCACGTCATTGGCCGATTCCGCAACAGAAGGTGTCAGGGACTGCAGGGATCAGACTGAGGTAAGAATGATTACTATACCTCATAAATATTCATGATCAAATTGGGGCACGTCATTGGTTGATTCCGCCGCGCGGCGGGAAGTAAAAATGATACGCGCCCAGGTGATGTCATCCCGGTGAGTATCCAGCTCGCTGCCGGCGTGCGGTAGCAGTAAGCACCAAAAATTCCTTCTGGAACCCATCTCGTAACAAAAGCAGAGGTTGACCATTAAAAATGTATTTGCCCAAAAAGGAATGTGCTTAAAGGGAATGTACAACTTTTGCTTTTGCTGCAATTTTCAGAAATAAATGGATTTGGAGTATTAGTATGTTATAGAAAATATTGTTACACTGACTTGTTTCACGTTTTTGGTTCGTAGATGCTGGAAAAACCAAGAAAACCAATCTTTTTATTTTAGTCTGGCTCCTTGACCCACTTAAGATAAAATGGACAAATTTATAGACTTTGGGGAATTGTAAGATCAGAGAATCAGTCTAGCAGGGTTTTAGTCTTCACATGTGTGTAATGAATTGCAAAGAAAATGCAGACGAACTAAACATAAAAAAAGTAGGAGCACTTTTGAAAAAGGCCAGTTTTCTCCAACGCTGGTCGGCTGATCAGCGTTGGAAAAATACAGTTTCTTGAAAACGTCAGCACACCAGGAGCCACAACTTTACAGGATGCTTTAGACTGTCATTCCCTAACAATCCAGTAAGATATTTCGTGATAATTTGATCATTTCGTTTTTTGATGTTTGCAAATGTTGTATCTTCCCTTTAAAGCCAAATTTTGTACAGTAATAGCTTGTTTCAAATAGTGTTTGTGTTTAATTTCAGCTTCTTCATAAGGCAAAAAATAGTATACGGTAGTTGTCCATCCGATTTCCCTACCTACCCTATTCTGACAGCACCCACCCTAATTGTTTTATGGGAAAAATGAGGAAAAAAACACCCAAAACGATAAATGTCTACCTTTTACCTTGACTACACACAGAGGCCTCTATATGATTGTACACAATAAAAATTAGAGAAAAATAATTCCATACCTACCTACCCTATTTTCAAATGCCATGTAATCGGAAACAGAACAATTTTTTTTTTTTGGCCTAAGCTACTTGGAAGTTTAATAAGGCCGTGGCCGAATTAACTGGCTGTGGCTGGGAGTAACACACACGCCTATGGGAAGTGACTGTAGCCACAAGCCAGTGGCTGTAGCTGCAAGCCAGTGGCTGTAGCCACAAGCCAGTGGCTGTAGCCACAAGCCAGTGGCTGTAGCCACAAGCCAGTGGCTGTAGCCACAAGCCAGTGGCTGTAGCCACAAGCCAGTGGCTGTAGCCACAAGCCAGTGGCTTCCATAGGTGCACATGTTATTTCCGGCCACAGCCACAACTTTCAGACACGACCTAATATAACACATGTAAGCTTTACATACATGTACAAAATTGTGCATGTATCAGATCAGTACATGACTGACCTTTGACCTTTTGATCCTCTTGCAGACACTTCCCCCGACTACGATCGACACCACAGAGCGTCTGAGAGATTTGAGGAAACGAATGAGACACATCAGATATGATCTGGATGGATACATTATTACGTACTCCGATCGACACCAGGTATAATGTGATGGATTGATGCGAACCAAAATCATTCAACTTCACTCACTCTTTTTTAACTGACCAAATTCTCCAACATTTTTGAGGCAAAGGACAAGGTCCTCAGTATTTCACCAGCCAAGTTTGAGATCTCAAGTCAGTTTTTAAAGGCGACTTTGCTTCAACATTTTGCAACTGAGGTTGAAGCCAAGTGATTTCAATTATTAGCTAGGACTAGACTGGTACATGTCCGACTTTTTGAGAAGATAGCCCATTTGCTTTTCAACATCGAAAAAACCTTTCCAATAGGGTAGCTATTTATTGAGTTATGGCCAGTTCAAAACAAGTACCCTTTTTTTGTTCTGTCCACGACGACTGATATTTTGACTGTCGCATTAAAAACACAGACTGAAACTTTCATTTGTAAAAAAAGGCTACCAAGTAGAGGACAGAGACAGAGCAGCAAAGTAGACATCTAAGAAGTTAGCCAAACTCCTTTTCAGGACTACCTAAAGTAGTGGTTGCAAAAATTAATAACAAAAATGAACAAAATATACAAATAAGATTGAGACATTAATTTAGAAAAAGCAAAACTACCCTCACCCCAAATCTAGTACATTCCTAGCCAATGACAAGTGAAAGTATTGTTTAAAAAGCTGAGATAAAGAGGACGTTTTGAGGGTTCATTCTTTTTAAAAGACCTTCTTTATCTTCTCTCTGCAGAGCGATTTTGTTGCTGACCACGACAAACGGCTGGAGTTCATTACTGGATTCCAAGGATCAGGTAAGCGCATGCATGCTTGACTTTGTCTTTTTCTAAGCTCAGCAGTCTATCGCTCTACCTTTTGGGATGTGTGTGAGTATTTGTCACTAAATAAATCTAAATATGTGCTGATCTACGGAGTTAAAAAACTTGGTTGAATTTCCCGTGTTTTTTCCCTAAAGGGTTTTTCGCAGGTTTTTCGCCCCTCCCATAATCAGCGGATATAATTATAGCAATATTTGTATTTGATGTTACAAGATAGGTCCCATTGTATTGAATTGTATTGTATTTGTAATGTATTGTATTTGTATACATGTTTGTAGTCATTATTTTATTGTATGCAGGGCCCCAATGGAAACCAGTTTTAAACTGTTTGGGCATACCCCGGGTAAAGATATGTAATAAGTAAATAAATGAATAAATGTGTACAGGGTGAGTAAAACAAAACCTAGATTTTGAAAGTGCTACAGGCAAAACTTCATTCAGAATTTCGGCGGATTCAGGATACCTCTGTGTTGAAAAAGTTGGGGGATTTTGATGGATTCAGGACAGTAAGCCTAGGGGAACTGCAGGATTTTGATGGATACAGGATACCTCCATACTGAGTAGTTGGGGGACTTTGATGGATTCAGGACCTCAACATTTAACTCCTTGGCTATATGTTTGGTGTGTATGAGGTATTGTGGATTCTGATGGACTCACTGGTGGATTCTGATGGACTTAAGACACAAAGAAAAATTTGCTTGACAAAATTAATGGATTTTGGCAGATTCAGGATACTTTCTAATAAACGTGCTGAAGGGGTTAGAGTTAATGAAGAAAAAACTTTCAGCCCCGATAGAAGCATGAGGATCACTGTGTATGAGTTGACCTTTACGAAAACATAGAAAACAACGCGAGAGACCACTTAAGCCCGGTTCATACTTCATGCGAAAGCAAGTGCGAAGCGAAATTCACGTCCTCAACAATGGTGGACGCGCTTCGAACGTATTGTTGACGTCAGGAATTTCGCTTCGCTTTCGCGAAGTTAACGTTATCCAAACAGTCGGTCCAACTTTTGCGACCGTTGCCACTGTGAAAAGTTAGCCGTGTCCACGCTGGCAGGACACACTCCCGGTCCGTACTTATTCACAGTAAATGTAATTCGCAAATCACCCTTTTCTTTTCTTGCACCAGGCGGCCTAGCCGTTGTCACAACAGAGCGAGACGGAGATGACGGCAAAGCGGTACTCTGGACCGACGGTCGCTACTGGATCCAGGCAGAGAGAGAGGTAGATTGCAACTGGGAATTGATGCGTCTTGGTGAGTTTAGAATCCAGGAAGAAAATTGGGAGGTTTCAATAGTAGGTCAGTGTCCATCAAAATGGAGTCTCATGGCCGAGCGGTTAAGAGCACCGGACTCAAGCTCTGGTGTTTCTGATCAGCAGAGTGTGGTTCGAGTCCTAGTCCTGACACTTGTGTCCTTAAGCAAGACACTTCACCATTATTGCCTCGTCCTTCGGGTGGGACGTAAAGCCGTAGGTCCTGTGCGTTGTATAATGCACGTAAAAGAACCCAGTAACACTTATCACTAAGAGAAGGGGTTCGCCCTGGTGTTTCTGGCAGTGCATTTATCCTCATACATATGAGGCTGCACTTTCAAGGAAGGAAGGAATGAATTTTCTATGCACGTCAACTGCCATGGTAGTCTATGGCGTAGACGCTTGCTGTTGATATACGTGTGGATTATGCAAAACAACACTACGTCGTGACATCCAGATTCTGGCCATTGAGCGGGCGTATTCTATCGTGTCTTCGGTAACCCATGTTGTGTGACAAAAATATGGCAGCTAGAGACCAATCAACAGGTTTGGTTGCATTTCTACTCTAAATGACATCACCACTTCTAAAGGTGGCACACTTCTAAGGTTCACATGCTCGGATATATCAGACATTTAAAGCATGGATCTGCAAACGTGAAGGGATCCTCAAGACTAATGTTCAGGTTGTGTCTAAAGTTTAATTTAAAATATGATCTCATTTATATCTTGGCAATGAAACCAAGGATTTGTCAGAAGTGCCTTTTTGAGCTCAGAATTTGAAGAAACCTGCAGAGGGAAGACGGTGTTGAAAAGTGCCTAATTTTAAGGCTGGGAGAAAACCCCAGATAAATGTTCTTGGGAATCCCATGGAATCGGGTAGGGACTGAATACCCAATTCGGGCAATTCACAATGCAGTGTGCCTCCAAGAGTTTGCCATGGCGAGTTCATTCCCCCCCCCCCCTGCATTGTGGGATATGATCAACAAATTCGCAGCGCGTGACATTCGAAATTGTTAGTTTTTCCGGTCAGTAGTTTCACAAGCGTATATGATTTGAGTATAATGTTTGCCCTTTTCTTTTCTTTTTATCAATGTGGTGTTTTTTGTAAGGCGGCAGAACGCTATGCCCCAATTTGTAACAAATAAGCTCTAGTTCTCTACTGACACTCATTCAAATGGGCCATGGTTTGTTGACCCTAAACTTGAAAAAAATGGACTCTCCATGCAAATTCTTGGTGGCGCACTGCATTGTGAATCGCCCGAATTCTTATGTGGGCTGGGTTTCGAACCTGGGTCACAGATTTATTGAGCCACTTAGCTGAGATGACCCAGGCATTGAATACCAGTATTACTTCCCCGACAAACTGAAATTTCCAGTGCTTCTAAAAAAACAATCAACTTCTTGTTCTGGAACAGGGGATCCCCGCGACGAAACGCCAGCGCAGTGGGTGATTGATAACATCAATCCCATCGACCAACAGAGCCAGATAGCGCGGATTGGATATGACCCTCAGCTGATGTCTATACGTGAGTATTGCGCAGAATGAGATGCAGAAACTCTGACAACTTTTGAGGGAAAAAAAACAAGTTCAAGTTCAGGGTCTGCAATGTGACAGTTTTTCTGTTCCTGTTACCTTGGTTCTTTGTAATTTACTATTCAAGTATCATTAAGAATAACCTAATATATATCTTAATCAATCTTGCAGGACAAAGTAGTGCATTGACCACTTCGCGCCGGGATAATTTGGCCGAAAATTCGAAATTCACAAAAATTCACAATTTCCGCCCAACTTCTAATATACAGCCAAACGCCACAAATGCTGATTTGCAAGAGTCATTTCAACAGTATTTGTACGATATTTCTTGCCAAAACCTCACATTTTTCAAAACTCGGAGGTGTGCACTGGAGCGTAAATTGTACAACAATAGGCCGTGGATAACGGCTAATTCAAGATCAACACATGGTCCGCCTCCACAGATTCACATACTTTGTGTGTGTGTGTACAAAAGGCACGAGGGATTAGCGTGTTTAGACGTCACCCAGAGACTAGTCGAGGCAATCGTGACGTTTTAACCCGTCAGCTGTGCCTGTGTATAAAAACAGCCAGTGCATGTTATCACGTCCTCCGATGCGAACTGGTTAAGGAGTGGTTCAGAATTATATAATCATAGATGTCGGATATTATAGGAACAGGAAAAAAAGTGGACCCCAAATTTATAGAATGACCCAGAAATGAAAGCCTCGAGCGAGGATACATCAATATTTATGCTGCACAAGCATGGACTAATCTCCAAAACGTTTTAGTATACAAATAATGAATGTTTGTGAGTGCAATGGTGAGAATAATTCATGAGGTGACAGATGAAATGTTCAATTCCACAGGACGAAGCCGAGTGGAATGGAACATTTCATTCGGTCACCGAATGAAATTATTCTTTCCCTTGCATGAACATGAAACATTCATTATGTGTTTTATATAACACCTGAATGAATCCTTGTCATCTGGTTGGTTGACTTTTTATAGCCAATTTATTCAGGTTAAAAACTGTTGGAAAGTTTGACAAGGAAGTTAATCATATTAAATTAACCATCATATTCAAGTAATCTCGATTTAAAACAGCGCCATCGCCAACAGCGAAGACACCGTGCAATGGAAATTCTATTCACTGTGCAATGGAACTTCCATTGCACTGTGCGCTGCGCGCCATGCGTTCGGACGAATAATTCAATAACATGTGATCAATGATCCACCAATCAGATGATGGGGATTAATTAAGGTGTTGTATAACAAAAAATATTCACAAAAGTCAAAGAAAGAATTGGAAATAAAAGTGGATGTTCAGGTTTTGTTGAGTGCATATTTTTATCAAGCATATTTTGGTACTATTTTCAATTCAGACTGATCACAAATCAAACTTTTGCCAAAATCAGACTGTTTTTGATTTTCTGAAATTTTGAGACCTATCAAAGTTGTTACTCTTCTTGACGTTTGCATTTGACTTTGATCCCGTTAATATTCTCTCATCTTTTGACTTGTCTTCTTTTTTACCGCAGGGGATTTTTACACCTTCAACTACACCTTCCGGGATTACGACCTGAAGAGAATCAAGATGATCCCGCTGGACGACATCCGCATCGTCAACAACAACCCACAGATCCCTGACCCCGACCTCATCAACGACGACAATGAAGACGACGAGAAGAACGACTTCATGATTGACTACATCTGGGCCGACAGCCAACAGGTGGATTACGGGCTACGCCCTCTAGAGCCGTACGATACGCAACTTTACGCAGGTAAGGGTTCAAGTTAAAGATATAGTCCATCATTTGTAATTTGTGCATTTTGTTCGTTTGAAGCAACAAAAGTGTTCAAAATCTAATGAAGGATACTGAACAACTAACCTGATGAAGTTTCAGCTCAGCTCCAGCTGTATATTCCGAGAAATACAGCATTGTAGGATCTCAATTTCAAATCAAAAGTTGCTGAATCATGTTTTTAATTGGGCCTGAATTCAGCGTCCGAGACACATTCTCACTGAGCCGGTTGCAGTTACACGCGATGTTGCGCACTGATCCGACGAATTATAGCAAACCGCATGCGCGTGTGCCTCATGCCAATGCTTGCGCGCGCGCTTCGCCGAATAACAAAACGAACTACTAATTAAGACGCACCGTTGGAAAGGCCTTCTTTCGTTGATTACTTCAAAATGACAGCTTGCCAGAAAGAATAATTTCACAGGGAGTTTAGTCCCCTTACTATCTTTCAACCAAGTATGTTTTTCAACAATGATTACGCCAGTTTCTTTTCGGATGGCTGCAATGATGGATTCTGGCTTTAAACAATAAAAACCTTGTGTGTCCGTTAATTGTGAGTGACGTCCAGTGGGTGGCATCGGTGGCTAGTGCGTCAAGCGCTTGCCTCTCACCATTATGGCCCGGGTTCCAATCCCGGCTCAGACCATATGCGAGTATGTGAGTATGTTCAAGCTGTACCCTCGTGAGCATACGCCCTTTCGTTTGGGTACACTAACTCAATTATAAGTCAATTTCCTGTTACATCAGATGAATCCCATGGTCCCCTCGATGACATTTGAATGCACATTGTCGACGACACTGAACGCTCATGCGAAGGAAGACGCTTTGGCTTTGTGCAGGTTCCAAAAAAAACCCTACTTGTGCATATACGTCAGGCTATATGTGCGCGTACCAGTACCGGTACGACCTAGGCTTCGAAAGTCGTCAAAAAGCATACGCTCCTGTTTCCGTGTGGAGCAGATAATATCTAAAGCTTGCAATTTTTGTTTTCTTTGTTATAAACTTTAACCCTAACAGAACACAACCCATCCAACCCCAACGGCATGTTTTGTTGGAATTTGTCAGGATGGGTACAGTACCGCTAAACTGACGGTCTTTTACATAGGGCTGGCACTCCTCCAGAATCAAAGTCAGAAATATGTGTGTGCAGTTTCCCATATGGTGTTCCCATAATTTGCCAGGATGGGTATGGTTCCTAGTAAATCATGCTGGGAATTAGGGTCAACAAGCTTGAAAATGCTGCTAAAGCCATAGATCCAGCCGCACTCTGAGATGGAGCCAGGGTTTGGAAAATGACGACTTTATGAATTCAGTCTGGTTTTCTGATTCTGAATAAAGCTATAAGTAAAATCCTATGGACCTTTTCTGATTTTTCCTTTTTTTTTTGTTGCTTTATAAATTTTAGGAGAGGCTTGGGAGGACAAGATTTACCGTAAAGACGGCAAGAAGAATCTGCGGGACATGATGAAAGATCAGAAAATTGATGCCGTTGTCATCACTAAACTGGACGAAATTGCATGTAAGAAATATAATACGCGGCTGTGTTTGTTTTGGCTATTTCCCAAAATCCCTTGACACCTGCTCTTGTTGTGGTGAAGTAGCTTGCTGATGGACACACAGTGGCATTGATCCAATGCTTGATTCAACACACACCATCCAAGTTGCATGTAAGAAAATCACCAGCTGTGCTTGTTCTGTGTGAATAATCCTTGACACCTGCTTTTGTTATGGTAAAGATGCCTGCTTAAGGACACAAGGTGACATTGATCATGTACTTGATTTGACACACATCGTCCAGGTTGCATACAAGAAAAAATCACTAGCTGTGGTTGTTATCGTTATTTCAAACAATCCTTAAATGGAATATACAACATTTGCTTTTGCTGTAAGTTCCAAAAGTGGATGGATGTGGGGTTTGATCATAGAGCTATATTAAATTACTAGAGCGCTGACTCATGTACAAAGTGATGCCTGCTGGGCACATTCATGTTTGTGCACAAACCTATGAAAAACTAAATTGTGTACGTCTTTTGTACGGCTATTTGCATATCTGCGTTTGTATTCTATGCAGGTGCATTACCGAAGCCGATACGACCAAAACCGAAACACAAGATATAGTTGTAGATTTTGGAGGAATTAACGATGTTCCTCGTTAATCAGTTTTCTTTTTGATATTTTTGGTCTCAGGGTTGTTCAACTTGAGGGGGAATGACATCCAGTTTAATCCACTTTTTATGTCATACGCCATTGTCACCGAGGAACAAATCAAGTAAGTTCATTCTGGCCAATTTGGCGCTTTGTCTGAATTGTCATTTCTTAACCCTGCTTAACAAACAGGTGGATAGCTCATTCGTTGTTACAGTTTCATATCCCAATTGAGTCAATTTCTTTTACCCAATTACTATTTAAAGAGGTTGTGGAATGCTCGAAGACATTTCCGTCATTTTTGGGGTATATGTAGCCTAAGGTGTGCTGAAATGAAACGACTATTGTGTCTGTCATGAAATGAGTACAAAAGGTACTTTTGAGAGCTATTTTTCAGGTCCTGTTTGGACCCGAACGCGCAATTTGTGTAAAAGTCGTCGTTGCAGGCAGCAAACAAAACACAGTAAATCGTGACGTAATAAACAGGACTCGTGTATGCTACTCTGCATCGGGAGTCCTGTTTATTACGTCACGATTTACTGTGTTTTGTTTGCTGCCCGCAACGACGACTTTTACACAAATTGCACGTTCGGGTCGAAACAGGCATGACAGGACTTGAAAAACCGCTCTCCAAAGTACCTTTTGTACTCATTTCATGACAGACACAATAGTCGTTTTTATTTCATCACACCTTAGGCTACATATACCCAAAAAATGACGGAAATGTTTTCGAGCATTCCGCAACCTCTTTAAACAGTCACAGATAGTTAAAATGTCCATCCAGTACCCCTAACACAGGCTAGTCACCAAAGGTTAAATCATATGTTAAGCAAGCACTATGACTAGTTGAATTCAGTCAACAGACCATGAACACACAAAGCAGGCAAGTTGTGGGCACAGCTGGCTTATTTCAATCACCCGCAGTCAAAGCAAAGCTGTATCAAGTTACATAAACAGTCCCAGCCAGTGAATCCTGCTTTATATAGGCTGGGAATTCTTAACTGTTGAAAACAGTCACTCGATTCTGATTCACTCGATTGATTCTGACTGAAAGGACTCAGTTTGGTAAAGAATATATGTTTGCATAGGAGGGTTAATCAACCTTATAGTGATTAAAAGCGGACATAGTCTGTTTTTTTTCGTTTTGGTTTATTGGTCGTTAGAGTGCCGTGGAATACCGTGTCCTCGTGGTCTGGAGTTTTTAAGTTTGTGGGTAATTCTGCAGGTTGTGGGTTCCAGTCCAGCCTGGGTTATGGTGCGTGTGCCCCTGGGCAAGGCACTTTGTCACTCATTGCTTCTCTCCAACCAGGAGTAAATGGGTACTTGTGAGGGCAGAGATGGTTATTGTGGTTGATTGTAGGTGCGTTGCGCCAAAATGGCAAGTTGAGCTGTATACTCCCCAGGGAGCTGAGATTGTCTTTGCAATGTTTCATGGGCCCAATGAGCAGGGTAATAAAGATGTAGTGCCTTGAGCACCAATACTGGTGGATACGTGCGCTTTATAAAATTATACGCATTATTATTATTATGTTCGGTATTTATGCACAAAGAGGGGAAATGAAGGTTCATTGATGTGTCTGTTGTTCATACCTTGCAGCCTGTATTTGTATGATGCCACACGTCGTCTGACCAGCCTCATCAGGGGACATCTCAAGATTGGACCAGACTATGGATGTCCTGAGACAGGTATAAAGTGGGCTCTTCTAACATTTCCTCATACAGTGCTGCCAAGCCTCTTCGTTAAGGAACTTCAAATTCAATCGGTATTTATTAAACTTGTAGCAAAAACCTTTTGGAAACCTTTTGCAGATACCTTAGTCCAACATAAAAAAAAATAAAAAAAGTCTAGGAATGGGCACAAAAACTGTCAGAGTTTTTCCTCACATAGCGCACTTGAAATATCTCAATCAAATCATCATTATAAGAATTTATAACACCTCACCCACAGATTCTTTGTCTTGATTGGCCGAGAGCGAGTCACATGTTACTTTCTAATTTTGCTATCTTTCTGTGCACGGCCAAAAGTACTATGCGCATAGCAACCAAAGTACTATACCATTAGCAACCAAAGTACTATTTCCACGGCATGGTATTTGTGTGCAAATGCATGCTGGTGTGCGCGTTGTGCGTAGCGCGTAGTATTCCAAAGAGAGCGCGCCACAGACTTGGGTTCAAACATTTCGTGAAGGGGTAGTTTTTAAGAGAGAAATATATTTTCCACCAATTTTGTATTGAAATTAAAGGTTATTTCAACTGTGTTCAGATTTAAATAATTTAAAACATTAAAATCAAGCAGAATCTGTGGGTGAAGTGTTATAAAACAAATATTGAATGCTTTATCTCGTGGTGAAGTAAAACTAGCCTCCCTCGGTGATCCATGGACCATTCTATTTTCCCTCGGCTTCGCCTCGGGAAAATAGAATGGTCCATGGATCACCTCGGGAGGCTAGTTTTACTACACCACTCGAAGCATTCAATATTTGTATATTATGTAGCAACTTCCCGTGTTTTTGTACAGGTACGCAGCTGCCCCTGTGCGTCAAGGTGCACGACTACAAGAATTTCAAGACGGGAGTGCAGAACACCAACAGCAGGGGCTCCATCAAGAAAATCTGGATGGGGAACGACACGAGCATCGGCTGGCTGGACGAAATTGACGAGGTGGGTGCTCAGAGATAAAGATCTTTGATTAGAAAAGAGCAAAAGAAGGAAAAAGAACAAATGGCTCTTTCTTCAATTTTGCTTATGGATCCTATATCATTATTTTGATCCCCCTGGCTGTAAGCCAGAGGGGGATATTGCGATAGCGTATTCCTTCTGTGTGTCTGTGAGTTTGTTTCTTCATTCAAAAGGGGACGTTGAACAATAGAGGACAATTTGGTCCCCAATTCCTGAAGGTCCCCAATTTACGATCATGTACAAAACACATGGGAGGTCTTCCTGAAAATTGAAAGTACAGACAAAAGAGGAACAATAGGGGGTCCCCGATTGCAGGCAAATACACACTTCGATGCATTTGTTTATGGTGCAAATCGAGGACACACATGCAACATCATCGATGAATTGAGGACATGAACCAAATTGAGGAGGACCTCGATTAGAAAACGTGTACAAAACCAATGAGAGCTGTTGCATAGTATAAACAAAGGAAAAGGGAAGAGGAACAATAGACAATTGTTGAGTTGCACCATAAACAAACCTGCTGGTATGTGTGTGTGTGTTCCATTTTGGTTAGGTTCAATGTAAGTTCAGTCATCAATCTCAACCAAACTTGATATGTGGTTATTGCTCATGGTATCTGGGGCACGTTTTTGCGCTGTGACCGTAAACATGTTTCTGGTTAGCAGCCGTTTTGGCACTTCGGTTACACTGAAATGACGTCATTGTTTCGACCAAAGTTGAACCGAGGTTTCCGGTCGGTTCACTTATGTTTCAAGATGGCGGGAAGGTCAACAAGCTTAGCCGACGACGTTACTTTTTACCATAAATGGGGTTTAAATAGTGGGTTTTTACCTTCAATTGGTACGAAAGTTGATACAGAATATCAGGCCTACCCTTTTTAGAACTTTAGGGAAACGTTATAAAAAAAACCTCCCACTTTTGCTTTGAATGTTATTGTTAATCATGTCCGGTTGCTGCGTGAATTTTTTTGAGTTGTGTGCAGTCACGTAGGCAGTATCATGACGTCATGAACAATTTTCCGGTCAGTCGTTTTCGCGGTGCACAGGAAACATGTTTCAGGTCACGGCTGTGACGTCAGAAACATGTTCCAGTTCAAGGGCAGCCAAAACGTGCTCCTGGTAAAGTGATTAGACTCAGGCAACAGGTCATGACCTCCAGGGTCACTCTACATGCCTTGGTCCTAGGTAGCCCATGATTTATGTCACTTTGTGTCTCTAGTGTCATGAAAGTCATTGTTTTGTAAGTATTAAAAAGGCCCCTTTGTAGCTTCACAGTTTTGGACTGTATAGGTACAGTGGAATTTGTCCTTACTAACTGCCTGTATACAAACTGCCATTATACAAGGGGGATCGCGCAAGTTTTACTTGCAGTATTTTTCTGATTCTGACAGGAAAAGCGTGTGGTGTCGCCTTCCATCATCCAATACCTGAAAGCAATCAAGAACGACAAGGAGATTGAGGGAATGCTGAGTGCAAACGTAAGTCTGAGTTTGAATGTCACATCATTGTAAACTTAATGGTAATATACAACATTTGCTTTTATAACATTTTAAGCTTAGCATGGTGGAGTATCAGTATCGTTTCAGTTTGCTGTAACACCATGTGGCAATATACAAATACAACATAGTTTGTGGGGAAATAGTGAAAACTAATGACCCCGAGGTGTTGGATGATTGGGACTATCGCACAAAACACTGGATTTATTATTATCTTCCAAAATTTCACCCAGTTCTTCCTCGGTTAAAATCACAAAGCAAGCACCACCGCTCACCCTTTGGATGTACGCCCTAATAGACTTGCACAAATTGCTGTCTTCACCAGTGATCTCCATGCGGTATGCACATAAAGTGCATGCGTTGTTGGTTACAAGAAAACACAGTACTCGAACAAATCTAAGGCAGCGACCCAAGTGTGTGATAGTACCTCCCTGGGTTTTGCACGTCACGCGCGTTAAGAAGACGCAGGGAAATAGTAAAAAAAAAAATTCACACGGTTGAGTTGCTGGAATGAACCAATGAAATGCCGTGGCTGCCTGATGAATATCTATGAGGTATATTTATAATATAATTATAATATTTTTAATAATAACTACTATTGCTCAGTTGATTTCTAGTTCTGATAAGAACTTGTCCTGCTTATTATCAACTTTCGCTAAGTAGTTTTATTTCTGATAAGAACAGTCCTGCTTTAAGTTCTAAAAGAACTTGTCCTTGGTCTCAGCGTTTCGACTAGCCTGCTCTAGTCTTCGTCAGGAGACTGACGATGATGACTAGAGCCAGGCTAGTCTTCTGTCATGTCATGTGGAGATTGCAATCAGTTCCCGCAGGCTGGGAAGGTTTGAGGTTATAACTTGTCAAGATTTGGGTAATGATGTACGATGTGTAAATCACTCTTCTCGTTACAGCTTCGTGACTCTGCAGCCGTGTGTGAGCTGGCCGCATGGATAGAGGAGAGGCTCCGATCCGAGACGGTAAATTGAGATATCCCTGACATCTATCTAACCATGTCAGTAGGCACCTCCTGAAATTTGTCAATAGGCAACTCCTTTTTGCCTCGCCTGAAAGAAGTTCAGGAAAGAGACCAAGTAATCACTGTCTGTCCATATGTCCGTCCGTATGTCGTAACGTATGTATGTGGTATTTTGGTTAAAAGTTTCGAAAAATTGGTCTCATTTGAGAAGTTGAAGTCCAATTGCAACCAAACTTGCATCATAGATGCAACATGGCAACCTTCATATGATAAATCAAATTTCAAGTGACGAATACAATTGCTGTGTCATGTAACTGATTGGCGATTAGCCATCTTATCTTTAACTTGTGCTGTGGTGTAGACACAACAGTTTTTTCATGTTCTTCTTGCATGAGTTCACTGGGTATGGCACATTTATTTCAAAACTTTGTTAAAAATTAGTCGTTTACATGCAAGGTTAAGCCGTGGCTGAATTGGTGGCTGTGGCTGTGGATTTTGCCATGGGTGCAGTGCTGTGAATAGCCTTAGCCGTTGACATTGCCCATGTCTGACAGCCTTACTATAATAAGTGTATAGGCATCTGTGCTACCACTCACGCAAGTGTGTATTTGCCTGCAATTAGGGGACCCCATATTGTCCCTCTTTTGTTTGCCACTAACTTTATACGAAGACCTCCCATATGTTTTGTAACCGATCAGAGATTGGGGACCTTTAGGAATTGGGGACCCTATTGTCCTCTTTTGTTCAACGTCCCCTATTGTGAACACCACCATGCACAGTTCCTGCACAAAGGTAATAAAACTTTTTGTCTTTTCTTTCTCACCAAAAACAGAACCCAGGAACAGGGCAGATTGACAAACTGAGCGAGAAATCGGTGGCGGAACGATCCATTGAACTCCGGAAGTAAGTTTCCTCAATTCCCTGTTGATGCCTCTGAAATGCTCGGCCCGTTTTTAACCCATTAATGCTTGCATTTTTGTTATTTTATATTGTATTGATATCCTGATACATCCATGAAACCAGACACAGGGGTGGTTTGGGGCAACGTAGGGGGTAAGATATGTTCAATTATGCAGGCAGGTTTTTGGATGGTACAAGAAAAAAATAGATATTAATCAAACTGTTGAAATACCACAATGCCAACTTAGTAACTGCAGTTTTAAAGGGAATGTACAACATTTGCTTTTGCTGCAATTTTCAGAAGTAAATGGATTTGGAGGATTAGTATGTTATAGCAAATATTGTTACACTGACTTGTTTGAAGTTTTGTGTTCGTCTTTGCTGGAAAAACCAAGAAAAACAATCATGTTCTTGTAGTCTGGTTCCCTGACCCCACTTCAGATGAAAAGGAGCAATTTATAGCTTTTTGGGAATTGTAAGGTCAGAGAATCAGTCTAGCAGGCATGTACCCCTTCACAGGTGTGTAATTAATAACAAAGAAAATGCGGAAGAACTAAATATGAACAATTAGGAGCAGTTTTTGAAAAAAGCGGGTTTTCTCCAATGCTGGTCGGCCGACATCACTCATCACAGCTGCATCTGCGCATCATCGCACAGTAATCTCCATAAAAGGACTTGTTTACGTTTTACTTGCGAGCTGGACACTCCATTATATAGCTAGAGGGTTGTTTCGAAAAACAGAAAGTAACAATTGTTGAACAAAATCGTTAGAAATTTTTAATTTTTGACTTGTTTTGACATTTGGGCTGAAAAGTTTTGAATCTTTTTAGCAAAAAAAGGTATTTATGAATGGGAATTCGCCTCGGGTAATTATCAGCATTCCAGACTCCAACCAGTCTTAAAAATAGTGTTTAACAACTCCCAAACACACATTTATTCCCTTATTGTTTATTTCTGTTGGGTTGTGCTTTGTGTTTGCAGGCAAAAGGTTGGCTTTGAAATGCCCAGCTTCTATCCCATCGTGGGCTTCGGGTACAATGGAGCTGTACCCAGATACAAGTGAGTTTGCCTCGAACTTTTCCCCTGCAAAAGTTTTCACCGGCCGTTGTTATTAACCAGTTCGCGCCGGGACTATTTTGACAAGAACAGAACGAGGCGCGGGATTACTTGTACTCTACCCCAAGCCAGGCGGGTTGAAGCCATCACCCTCGGGCAGCAGACTATTTTCGGCCTCGCTCGCTGCGAACGGATCGCTGATAGATATTGCTGGCCTCGTTCCCTGCGTGTTTATCTGTCATCCGTTTTGAATACCGCAAAACCTTTGCGGGGATACGCGTTATCGGGCGCGAACTGGTTAAAACACTTTGTTCTGATAGCTTTTTGGATTTCAACAGGCGATATCATTCCTTCAGATAGATTGATATTTGTCAACTTAAAATTACTGTTAAAATGTAATGAATTGAAACGGCATTATTAATTTCTTCAAAATTCTGACATATTCAGGGAAAGCGCAAGTATTTGCAAATAAATTGGTGACATTCGGATAAGTTCAGCAAATTGCCTGTTATGTGTAGTTAGCCCTGTGGACATTTGGACTAGTACCCAACCCCTGCTCAAATGGTCAACAAGCTAAATAATTGATTTTGTCGTCATTGACATTACTGTTTCTTTCAAGCTTGATGGTCGAGTGGTAAGACGTCTGCACTAGTAAGCAGGAGGTCGTGGGTTTGAGTCCCACCCGAGTAGTTTGTGAATTGTTTTTTCTCACAAAATGGCTCAGGACAACACTGAACATGTATTGTTTATACTTCAGGGAAGGGCAACACCCAATGTTGAATTTACATCACTCTGACGGAAATTCCATCTAATGAGTTGTTTCTTTCGATTTCTTCACAGCGTCTCTGATAAATCTAACGAGGCCATTACCAACCAGTATCCGTTGGTCGTTGACTCTGGAGGTCAATACTTGTAAGTTACCTTGTTTGTCCCATACGGATAACGCAATGCACAATATGGATATATTATACAATTCATTGGTTGCACCACGAACCGACATATCGCATTTGTTGTGTTTCGAGAAAAAATGATTTAAATTTGGTCATTATTTTGTAGGCTCATTCCATATACTCCCTGTGTAAGAATTCAAGCTGTTTCGTTTTTGCTAGTAAATTATAGATTGAACTTTATTGTATGCAATCCATGTGCATCTGAGTTGCTTAGTTTGTGAGAAATTTAGTTCCAAAGTTATTCGTCACTTCGTGAAACAGATTTTTATTATGTTTATCGTATGTCATACAATGCACGTAATAGTGGCCGTGTGCCAGATACGGAGATACGTCGGTTTGTGAAACGCTAAATTCCATTTTTTCATGTCGACGCTCCTTTATGACGTGATAGCACTATGGAGGCTACCTGTTGTTCTCTGCTGACATTATTACGGTGAAATTACGGCGAAATTGGCAGAGTTGAAAAAAAGCAGACGAACCGTGAACGAAATAAACAACAATGGCGGTCATAGCAGAAACGGGAACATACATCAATACCAGCGTAGCTACAACCTCGTACTTGAGGTCACACTAATATAGTACAACGCGGTGGAAAGACACTTCGCGTACATCGCTCATGCGTTTTTGTGGCATGTCACGTGATCCACTCTCGACCAATAAAAATTCACAATCTACTACCATGGTATAACAATGATGTATATGCAATGCTGATTTTTACCTATCACGCGCCACATGCTGTGCTTAACGCATGACGTTAAGCACTGCAAGCGTAGATTTTCAACTGATGAGATTTTGGAGTCATTTCGAAAGACTGCAACATTTTATCTCGGACGTAGTCAATTCTGACTGTTTCAGAAGCTCAACGTTTTCACGTACTTAAATGCTGTGATTTAAATGTTAATTGTTGTTTTGTTTTGGTTTGGATGCAGAGATGGAACGACGCAAATTGCCAGAACATTCCATTTTGGAACCCCAACCCAGTTCCAGAAGGTCAGTTTTAGTAAGATTCACCCAAAAAAACCACAAAAAACCTTCAAATCTTGTTTTCTGTTTTAACCAGTTTGCGCAGGGATTATTTTGACTTAACCGGACCCAGGCGCGGGATTGTTTTCACGAACGTCATTGCCAGACGGGTTCAGACTGTCATCTGCGGGTAGCACACCCTGATATTTCTGGCCTGGCTCGCTGTGAGCGGGTTGCAGACAGATATTTCTGGCCTCGCTCGTTCATTGTTTATCCATCATCCATTCCGATTACTGCAAAACCTTTTCATGTATACACGTCATCAGACATGAACTGGTTTAAAAATCTCTTTTACTTTCATGGAAACCATCTCTGTACATTTGCTTTGAGTCCGAGATTGGAAATATTCACAATGTTTTATCCATTTATTTATTTTCCTTTGTTTATCAACTTTTAATGGGGTGAATTATTTTTTTCATTTTGGTTTTAGGACGCATATACAAGAATCCTCATGGGCCACATGAACCTGGCCATGACCATCATCCGCTCTGATGTATTTGGTAAGTTTCATCTGAAATTTTGTCTTTAACTCAGACTAGGTTGTCACCGTGCGACTTAATCGCAAAAGGTTTCTCACAATCGTATAATTGAAAGGAAAGAATTTTAAAAAGCTGTTGCAACCCACAGCGCGTCCCAAAATACCCTCAACTTTTTTGCAATGCTCTAGAGTCAGTGCTGAAACATGCACCACCATTTTTGTTATACCAGTTGAAAGCTTGGCATCTTAACTTTATCCCTGGTGAGCATTGATTTGGTATTTAAAAGAATAAAATAATTAAAAGGTGAAAAGAAAATTGGTATCCTCGATGGTGAAATTGGTTTCACACCTATGATTTGTTGTCCTTGTACAAGAAAGCTAACGTTACTTAACCAGTTGGCGCCAGAGGACACGATAACACACATTGACTGTAATACCCAGGCACGGCTGATGGGATAAGATGTCAAGATTGCCTTGATTCGCCCTCGGGTGACATCGAAACACGCTAATCCCTCGTGCCTTTTGTACACACACACAAACTCCGTGAAGTCTGTGGATGCGGACTGCGTGTTGATCTTGAATTGGCCATTGCACACGGAACATTGTTGTACAATTTACGCTCTAGTGCGCACCCCGGAGTATTGAAACATAAGAGGTTTCGGCAACAAAATATCGTACAAAAACTGTTGAAGTTAGTCTTGCGAATCAGTATTTGTGACATTTGGCTGTATACGAGAAGTTGGCTGGAAAATTTTGCCTTTTGCGAAAAGCAACATTTTTGGCAAAAATGATGCCAGTATAGCGTGAATCTCCGACTTCATGAAATGTGGACTCATTGGTAGTTTTACGCATGCGTAAGTACGATGATATTCTATTTTTAGGATCATTGTGGAAGAGTGACCTGTCACGTGTGAGGGATTAACCAATAATAGGGGAAAAAAGGGTCAGATTTTCATAGGAGACGGATTTTCTTATGACGCTGGCGGGAAGTGGTTAAGTAACATCACACAGATCAAAATAGCCTAACAGTCCTGAATCCTCCAATTTCAATATAATTTTGCACACCCCCTAGGGAGTTAGCTTTAACCCTAACCGCCCTGAATCCTTCAAAATCCTCTTTGCCAAGTTGGAGGAATTTGGAGGATTTAGGTTACATGGCAAAAGTGCGTTACTGATTTCGTAGGATGCACTTTGTCAAGGTCTTGGGCCAGACCTTGTGTTGGTTTTGCTCAGCCATGCATAAATAGGCCTGGATTATGCTTGAAATCCTCCATACTGCTCCAGGATGTCACTGGCCAAGCCTCAACATATCGACAGTCACTGCTGCAGGATTTTGCAGGATTCAGGCATTGGTCAACCCTCCACGGACCATATTCAATAAGTAATGTAGGAATTTGCAGGATTGAGGCTACATTTTAGCAAAAAGGCCTAGGGAGTTAGGGTTAATCCAAAAAATATTTAATTACAGGGAGGGACCTGGATGCTATCGCCCGTACCCGTTTGTGGGAGATCGGTCTAGACTATGAGCACGAGACAGGCAGCGGTGTTGGCCATTACCTCAGCATCCACGAGGGACCCACCAGATTCAGGCACGGCTACATCGCCGAGGATCAAGAATTCTTCCCTGGAATGTTCGTCGCTAACGGTGAGTGTTGAATGGCAACAGAATAAAAAGGGTTCGGATGAAAATGCACAGTGATTCATGATTATGACGTAGGACGTGCAGTGGTTCGATTTAATAATGAATGCCGCATGACCTACAAAACCTCCAATCAAATGACAAGGATTTACTTCGGTGTTACTTGTATATAATTCTCTTTAAAGGTACAGTCCATCATTTGTAATTTGTGCATTTTGTTCGTTTGAAGCAACAAACGTGCTCAAAATCTAAAGAAGGGTGCTGAACAACTAACCTGATGAACTTTCAGCGCAGCTTCAGCTGTATATTCCGAGAAAAACAGCATTCTAGCATCTCGATTTCAAATCAAAAGTTGCTGAATCATGTTTTGAATTGGGCCTGAATTCAGCGTCCGAGACATGTTCTCACTGAGCCGATTGCAGCTACGCGATGTCAGGCACTGATCCGACGAATTATAGCAACCACGCCCAATAAAAAAAATGAGCTACTAACGAAAAGGCCTTCTTTCATTGATTTCTTCAAAATGACAGCTTGCCAGAAAGAATCATTTCACCGGGAGTTTAGTCCCATCTTTCAACCACGTATGTTTTTCAACAGTAATTACGTCAGTTACATTTTGGATAGCTGCAAATGATGGACTGTAGCTTTTAATTAACAGTTCAATTTCTCTGTATTTTGACAGGTCCTGGTTACTATCATGTTGATGACGATGATCTGAGAGATCAGTGGGGTCTGCGGATACAAAACATCATGCAGGTCAAGGAGATTAGACTAGAGGTCAGTAAACGGGGAGCCTCTGCAAAAAGGCCGCTTCATAGTTGGTTGAAATGCAAATACATTTCAAGAATATCTTATGCATGGGCGTAGCGAGGGGGGGGGCAAGGGGGGCACTTGCCCCCCCCCCTGAAAAAGCAAAAAAAAAAAAAAGGGAAGAAAAAAAAGAAAAAGAAAAGAAAAGCAAAAGAGGCACGAAGACAAAGTGGTGTAAATTTAATGAGTTGGGGAGGGGGCAAAATGTCCCTGCCCCCCTCTAAAACTGATAAATCGAGAATGTGTTGAGAAATACAAGCATTTTTTGGCCAAAAAAATGTCTTGCCCCCCTCTAGAAAAAATCCTGGCGACGCGCATGATTTGATGTCACATCAGGTTTCCGCGCTGCAAATTCGCAGAAGTTGAACTCAATATAACTCAACTCCTAAAACCAATTTGAAACAAAGTAAAATACTAGCCATGAAAGAAAACTATATATGTGCTACAACTCTAGCTTAGGCCTTCATGTACAACATGACATGGATAATGTAATGTTAGCTGAATTAATAAAAAAGATATAAGCTTTGTAAACAACTGTTAGGAATGGTACGTTTTTAGACGCAGATTTTTGTTCTTCAGTATGCATTGATAAAAGTCGCTGAAGTTTCTTGCCAGATTTCAATGAAACAACCAGGTTGGTACATGGGTTCGAATCCTAACCATGGAAACATGGTGCTTGTGCTCTTGAGCAAGGCACTTTACCATTATTGCTTCGTCCTTCGGATGGGACGTTAAAGAACCCAGTAACACTTATCGCTATAAAGAAGGGGTTTGCCCCGGTGTTTCTGGCAGTGGCTGCAATATGCGCCGCAGCACCTTGTAAACCCTTATAAGTGCTACATAATGGGTCTCATATTTCTCATAGCCTTAATTTACCTGTCTGTAACAATAGATATAATTTTCCAGCGCCTTGAGTACCTAATTGTTGGTAAATGTAGATACGTGTGCTATATAAGACTCCGTTGTTATTATATTATGGTATTAAGATTTCACGCGGTTTACACTTTTCAGCCATGTCCACTTTGTGTGGAATTGAAGCTGTGTCCCTTCCTTCAAAAAGAATAACACTATTCTCCCTTTTCTTTTTCTTTTTAACTGTGAAATCCCTTAAATCATCAAAAATGTAACATTTTGCGGGTCGTCAAAGACACATTTTCGCAAAATTGGGACATAAATGTTAATATGCGCTTGACTGTACAATCCTGACTCCATCAAAATCCATCAAAAAACAATAAACTGGATTGGGTTTTTGAAGATTTGGGAAGATGAAAGTTGAGCAGTAAATGGACAAGTCACCAACTGACTGACTGTCTTAACTAGCCCACCGCCCGATCACTTGCAATATCATGTCATTTTCTTACATTTACTTGTAAATTTGTGGGTTTTTTTTTAACAGAATCGTTTTGAAGACTACACCTTCATGAACTTTGAGATGGTGACCTTGGTGCCCTTTGAACCCCGCATGATCTACTACAGCAAACTCAACCCACGCCAGGTAAGTTCAGAATTTGACAGTCATCAATGGAGTTATTAATGAATGAAAGGTTTGCGGAAACACCATGTGCAAATAATTTCTCAAATAAGAGAATGGTTAGGAAAAGATCGGAGGTATAAACTCGATGTTTTTGTCAGTCTACTCTGACCGTCTTCACTGTGGCGCACCCGGTGGGGGTGGGGGTGGGGGGGGGGGGGCTGGAGCTCCAAAACCGCCTGGAAAATTTTTGAGGATCAAGGGCGGCTAGGGTTAATCCTAACACTCCCAAATCTCTCAAAGTCCATCTCTTGGCATTTAAGAATGTTCTTATCAGTAAACTAAATCACAGCGCTTTTAGTATTATTATTACCCCGATCATTGGGCCAATTAAACATTCCAAATACCATCTCAGCTCGATGCAGCCTGTTAGGCGCAAGCAAGCTCATTCAATCACAATAACCATCTCTGCCCTCACAGGTATCCATTTACTCCTGGGTGGATAGAATCAATGAGTGACAAAGTGCCTTGCTCAAGGGCACACATACCATGACCCCGGGCTGGACTCGAACCCACAACCCACAGCTTTACCCATAGGCCACGAATTCAGTGCCCTGAACACGAGGCCACAGCACTTGAATAAAAGTTGCATTCCTACACAGTGGAGAGCTTTTGAACAGTCAGCCCGGCTTTTTGCCCAAAATTCCTTTGATGTTAGGGTCAAGACTCGCTTTGCAGGATTCGATTGCATTTGATGGTTCCATTAACTCCTTTCAACAGATTGACTGGCTGAACAGCTACAACCTTCGCGTCCGCACGCTGGTGGAGCCCCTCCTGACCACCCAGGCAGCCAAGAAGTGGCTGGAGACCAAGACTAGGAAGATCACGTACGATTACACGGTAACGGGAGGTGCCACCAGCATCACCACGGTGACGAGCGCCATCTTGATTGCGTCATCGGTCATTGTGAGTCACCTGTTACGGCAGTAATTGTTTGTGATTTGTTTTGTGTCAAGTGTTACCATGGCAATTTATTGAGTGTTACCATGGCATTCTGATGCCAGTGTTCACCTAGTTACACTTAGCTTGAGAGGATTGCTTTAGTTTTGTTTTGTTTTTGCAGTTTATTAAGCTTTTGGAGCAGTTTTATTCCTTTGGTAAATTATTTAATCAGATAAACAGAGAAAAAACTATCAGTGGTTGTAGCATTTGCTTTAAAGAATTCCTGTGACAAATATTTGAGGTCAGTAAAAAAATCACTAATATTCACATATAATAGCGATGCTTTTTGCCGTGATTTTATGTTTATTGTTCTCCATTTAAATGCCTGAAGTTTCAAGACATTCTGTTAATAGATTCATTAATTTCATACATCAGAATCTGAGGTTGCAACCTCGTTCGTTTTTTAATGTCACTTTGGTTTATCATACCTGAATTTTAATACAACCGGGTTCAATTGTGAGAGGAAAGGGTTTTTAAATCTTGACATTTTGAAAGTGATAATTCATCTGTATATAATAGTACAAATTTTGATTGGAAATGTTTGTATAATTCAGTGTACATTCCATTTCCAAATGATTATTCCAGCTAAAATATTTTTATAGATATTAACAGACTTTTGTAAATGAAAGCAACTTGATTTTTTCCTTCAATTTTTCAATTTTTTTTATGGGTATGGTAATTGTAAAAAGAAAATAAAATTATGACTTTTATATTCTGCAAGCGAAAATGAAAAATCATGCCTGCCTGAAAATTGTAAATTGATTTGTTTTTCAGTTTTTTGACCTTTTTTTAATTTTTTTTTATGGGTATGTCAATGGTGTTAGTAAAAAGAAATCAAATTCATGACTTTGTATTCTGCCAGCAAAAATGAATAATCATACTTGCCTGAAATTGCTGAAATGATTAAATAAAAATTACATATCTTTGAAATTTGATCAAAATAGTTTTCATAAATTATTATGATACCAAAGAGGAATCATGAAGTTCAAGCTTTCTATCATGTCATTGTCTACTAGTTTAACAAAAATATTTCATTTGATAATTTCTTTCTGTGTTTCCCCCAAATTCCACTGTTATAATTTTATAATGAATTCCACTGTTATAATTCAATAAGTAGTTGGAAAATATCAATACATGTAATCGGTCTATCTCAGCACAAATTAAAGCAAAGTTATTGAAAATTGTATGTATAATTCGAGAACATTACATTTGAACAAAATATTCAATGTATACTTTCCAGAAGATTTTTTAATTGCATTTCGAAGGCTGTGATCTTGTTGTTTCTTTTTTTTTTTTAAAGGAGTAAATTTTCGATTTGTAATTTATTTTCGGATGGGGTAAGTTCTGGAAACAAATAGTGAAAAAAACAATAAGTAATAAGATTATGTATTCATTGTTGCAAGGTATTCATCGAAACTGTCTAAAATTGTTAAATATGATAAAAAATGACTGCAATTATGTAACTGATATGTTTTAATGGCATAATGATTATGAATTGTTTTTGTACCAAAGATGAAAGAAGATGTAGGTTTATTGCTAGCTGAGAGCAAAGTTTGATTTTTCTTCTGCCTTTCTGGGCAGATTTTGCTGTATATATTTGCTATGTGACCAAAATACATGGTGTGGGGTTTTCTTTAACGTGTCTTATTCCATAAAGTAGGCATTAAGTGCGTCAAGTGTCAATGGTGCTAATATAAGATATCTGTACCATAGACTAAAAACAGTCCTTTGATTTTCCAAAATCTCTGTAGCGCAGTTATTCAATGGTGTGTGGTTTTTAAACAGTGCAGTCATTAGCTAGATTCTACATGAAGTACTTTTTAAAAATATTTCAGGAATTAAATCGTGATCTCTTTGTATATATTGAAATGTCTTTTTGTACTGATTTTTAAATTCTGCATACGTATTCCTGTTGTAGTACTGCTTAGAATTTCTACTTATATTTTTAATTGCTGCAATTAGTAATGTAAAAATAACCAGTATCAGTAGATGTACTGTATTCAAAATTAGTTTTGTGGTCCTAAAACAGCAGCTTCTACTGTTAAGCTACCAGCTTTTAATATTAAAGCAGAATTTCGTGAACAATTCTCACCCAACTGTTCCAGTTTCTTCCAAGTTTTTTTTTTTTTTTTTAGAAAGGTCCACATTATTTTTTGAGTTGAGAAGAAATCTTTCTAGCTAGGTTTCTAATTTGCCTTTTTTGGCCGAGGAAAAAAAGTCTGCCACTTTTGTGGGAACATCGGATTATATTTTCACATTTTAAACACCAAAAGGCTAAACGTGACGACATCTTTAGCAATCTTGGAACCCTGCCAAAATATTTATGACCGATTTGGAGAGAATAAAGTGTGATTCAGCTACCAACAAATTTTTGATTGTCCCTGTGAGATTTTTAAAGAAAGAAATGTCTCCTTTCCGTGATTGCTAAGATTTTCTCTGAATAGTTAAATTGTAGACTTTTCTCCGGGGATAACTGACGCAAACTCAAAACGTTGCAATTAATACATTTGAAACGATTCCAAAATATGTTCTCTCACCTTTTGGTTCAGTGGAGTGGGTCAAAGGATCACCCCTCTCTCACAATAACGGCTGCCAGAAAAAAATGTATGTAAACCAAAATTGTAACATTTTTGTTTAGCACGCTGCGTATGTTGGCATTGTTCCATTATTTTGCATTCGGACCCCTCCCCCGCCCATACAAAAAGCCATCAAAACAAATGCAGCTGCAAAGAATGCACCATCAGCCAATCAGCGTTGTGAGCGTTTCACTTTTAACCAATAGCACCACCGCTCGGCGTGGGTGACCAACTCAGTAAGACGCATCTCAATATCACTCCCCGTCAAAGAAAATAGTGCGCACCGAATTATTTGAAAAATGGAGGAGTATTTTGTAAAATGTGATACAATTCATGAGATTTGAAAGCATTATGAAAGATAAGATATTGGATTAACTGTGGTCTCGTAAGCATTGCCCTTTTAGTGAATTTTGGGTACGAAAAATGGCCGCGGATGGACACAATGATAAGCTTAACACATTCAAGTAAAATTGCACATACGTTGCCTTATCACACAGCTACTCACGCTGTCGGCTGCTTTCTTGTGATCATTCATTTACGCACGAGCCTTTGAAGTCATTGTTGTCATATATTCGGAAGTTGTTGCCGACATTTATCTCACAATACACATCCCCAAAGTTGACGTTGTTTCGAGCGGATTATTTGACCTTCAATACGATACCTCAAGGTATTGAAGGCAACAATGTGAAGTTCATGTTATACTTGCGAATAGATTTACAGGACTTGTCAGCACAACTTAAGTTCGAGAAATACTACCATGATGTGTGCACGGGAGAGACAATACGTCGTCAAAGCTGGAATTCAACGTGAACTCGCCACACTTCGAGCCCCCTTCCTTGCTCTCGGTCTTCTGTCGGTGGAAAAGTTGTAAGTAAACGCAATTATGAAACAGAATTCAACTTATTCTTAAGGGAAAATTTGGCACAGATAGTTGATGTTGCTGACTGAATTCCCAACAAAATTTGGCACAGATAGTTAATGTTGCTGACTGAATTCCAAACAACCATGACAACTCAAACTCTCAACCTGTCAAGAACGCCAACTCGTACCGCATGCCGTCACAAAATTTGTTTAATTCGGGGTCTTTTTTTGATAACCAAACATTAGGCCTACTTGAACCTTTTAAGTAACAGCAATGAAACGTTGTTAAATACTGAATAGACGTTTTTGTTGCTTTCAGGAAATACTGTTAGTGCAGTGCTCAAGGCTAGTGTGCAAGAAGTTGTTACATCCGGGTCTGAATGAGGACTCAAAGGTTTGTGCTTCAAGATCGGTAAGTCATTAAACAAAAAAGAATCTGAGATAAGTGAAAAACCATCTGCTTTGAGAATCTGAAATTATAGTTAAGTTGGAAATATCCCCTGGAAATTGAGGGGAAATAGGAAATCTATTTTAATGTAAAACGACTCCCCCCCCCCCCCCACCCAAAAATAAATAAATAAATAAATAAATTAAATACCGTTGAGTTCTCCTGACTTCTTGTCGACTTTGATATTGATTTTTGTCCCTGTGCTTTTGTTTGTCAGTAAATTGGGGGGCAATTTTGAATATGAAACGAAGCACCTGTGAATTCTTTAACATGAATGCTTTTGTGTCTAGATACAATGAACACTTCGGCGTGGGCCGATCGATATCGAATTCTTGAACTTTAACCTCAACTGGAATATGAAGGTGCATGACCTGTACAAAAAAAAGGGTTTAAATAAGTCCAGCTAGTCTGACGTTCAGCCACATATACTAATTTTTTAAGGACCTTTAATATTACGCCAGGTTGCTGCCGACACTTTGGGATTTCAATATTCTCCAAATGTTTCAATTGAAGTATATCACGGATTGTCTGTCTATGCATATTGTCAGTACAAGGACCGCGTGTTATTTAGGAAGACTGGAAACGAACTATTGCAAATTTGATGAGCTTTTCGTTCAGCAGAGAAATTCTCCTGTTTCCTTATTTTTCCAAGAGAAACGAAGAGCAGCTAACGTTTAGGTTTTTATTTTGAGGTGAATTTTACTCATATTTGGATGTTTTTGATCATCAGAAACCTGTTGGAGGAAAATTAAAAAAACAAGAAAATAATGCGAATCTCAAAATGAAGAAGGGAATATTATCAAATCATACCCTGTGAAATAATTCCGCCTGAAATAGTATCTTCAACTGTATGGAAGGTGATTGCAAAATAGGGTGCCCGCGTACGTGAACACTGTTTTGCGTGCGTTAGCAACGGAATGTGGTTACGTGAACACCCCCCCCCCCCCCAAAAAAAAATTAAATTACTCAAATGTATCCATCGAGTGATTGCCGTACTGAGTTCATTCATTGAACAGTACCGCAATGCAGACTTCGTACTCCGCAACGTAGGCCTATTGACCGACTGTGGAAAATACGGCTGTAAATGAAGATGAAATGCAGTTGTTTTGTATCGTAATAATAGGGATTTTTTATGCTTATTATTTCAGTGGATTATTACGAAATAAACGAACTTAAATTGACCCCCAGCTAAGCTTTCTGATCAGAGTTTGAGTTATTTTCTCCACTTTATAAATTTTATTACGTGAATGTGATGGCCGTGGACTAAAACTGGAAGGAGTCGTGATTAATCCCAGCGTTGCCGCTAGAGGGCGCTAGCCGATATGTACGTAGGTCACGCTCGGGTCACACTTTACCAAAGTTCGAGTGTCGTCTGCTGCACACCCTGAAAACGGAATGTGGGGAACACTTATTTGATTTTTTTCAAGGTGTTTGTTCACGTCACATCATTCATTCGAAGCCCAAAACATTTAATCTTTGTCGTGATGGCATCATCAGCCATTCGCTACATATTCAAATCAAGGTTTGTACTAGTTTTTAGCACTAATTTATTTACGCGTTACATGATCATGAAAATGACTGCGTACAATTGAAAAACTGCACAGTCTGTCTGCAGGGTGGTCCCCAAAAAGTTTACACTTTTTAAGATGCAGATTTCTCAAAACAGGGGAAACATGTTACAATAGTTTTAAGATATTCCTAAACTACAAGATGTTGGTGGTATGTGGTGAAAACGGCACTGGAAATAAAGCTAAAATTAAGAAATGGCGGCACTGGAAAATGGTAAAAAAAAAAACAGTGTCACATGCGGATTATGTCTATGATTAGCCCCACTAGTGTGGCCGTCAGTATGCTGCGCTGAACCTAAGGCCAAACACCGTGGTCCGCGCACTACTGAGGACATTTTCATAAAATTTGCAGGGAATTTCTTACATATGGTTGTATTCTACGATGTCCCATCTATCACTTCTGGGATGCTTAGGTGTAATGATGTTCAATTTTCCGAGATATTCTTGAATCTTTCTGGAGCCCATATGCACTTGTGAAACGTCCGGTGATGGCAGCCATTTTGAATGTGACAAGAGATGACCTCAAGCTGTGACGTCGCGTTTATGCAAATTGCTTGTTGAGCGAGGGCGCGAGTTGCAAATGCGACGGCTGTTTCCTGTGCCGTAGATCCTGAATAGAGATCAGTGCACGTGGCCCCCAGACGATAAATGCATGGTACAGGAAACAGCCGTCGCATTTGCAACTCGCGCCCTCGCTCGACAAGGAATTTGCATAAACGTGACGTCACAGCTTGAGGTCATCTCTTGTCACATTCAAAATGGCTGCCATCACCGGACGTTTCACGAGTGCATATGGGCTCCAGAAAGATTCAAGAATATCACGGAAAATTGAACATCATTACACCTAAGCATCCCAGAAGTGATAGATGGGACATCGTAGAATACAACCATATGTAAGAAATTCCCTGCAAATTTTATGAAAATGTCCTCAGTAGTGCGCGGACCACGGTGTGTGGCCTTTATAGGTTCAGCGCAGCATACCGACGGTCACACTAGTGGGGCTAGTCTATGATATGGATAGCTGGAGTTACCCAGCCCCAATAGACAACCCAATGATAAAACTCAGGGCTGGGTAACTCCAGCTGTGATATGGAGTGCTAAAGTGAATACGTCACGGGCACAAAATGTGTGTAAAAGACATTAGCGCATGATTCAGCCCGTGAACCAACACGCGCACGTACTCCAGTCGTTTGCACTACCGGTACACTTTCTGGTTCTAAATGACGTCGCACTTTGGTACTCCATAATGTCGACCATCGTTATTGTAGTTCTAAGCTTTGTGCATGCAGTGCTATTGTTTTGACCATGTCTCATAGATTTGCCGGTGGACAAAATGGTTTTGACCATTTTTCTGTAAATGGCTGCCATTTCTTAATCTAGGTTTTTTTCCAAAGCTTACCACCGACCAACAGCTTACTTATAGTTTTACTTATATCTTAAAACAACGTTTCCCCAATTTTTGGAAAAATGTGCGTCTGAAAAACACTAAAACGTTTTCGGACAACTCTGTAGTAGGCACCTAGGCCTATACTATAGTATTAACACTAAAATACTAAAATAGCAGCATGTTTTTAAGTATTTTTTTTTTTAAATTGTATACAGCACCATAGACATTGACCCATTAACGAGGCGTCAGTTTGGGTCTAACAACATCACTGACTAGCGTTATACAAATATTATTATTTAATAATACAAGGAATATCTCCATGCTTTTTGTTTGGTGCTTCGACCTTGTAGTTGTAGTTGTACAGTAAGTTCTTCCCATACGCACCATTTACTTGTAGGCCCTATTGATATACATAGTCACAGGCCCTGTTTCTTTGTGTAACTTGACAACAAGAAACAAATAAGAATGATAGGCCTAATGTGTTTACAAAATTAGTATTTAGTATTAAAAATTTAGTTTTAGGCTGAG